CAAAAAGATTATCTTATTACATAAACTATGCATGTTAAAAAATATATTGAATGTTGTATGTAAACATGAATCTAAATAACTTATAAATCAAACACTACCTCTTCAGAATTGCAGTCACGATAACTGTATATAAATAGATGACGTTCTACGGCGTGCCTCGCCCTATTTCTAATGAAATACGCTGTTCCCCTCTGTTGTTGCTCTAATAAGTAAGTACTGTACGCTTAATTTCAATGAATTTCAGTTGGTCAAATGTGTTCAAACCGTTTTATGTTTTCAGTAAAATAAAATACGAGTAAATTAAACAAAGGCGTTTTTACTTAATTACATGTAATCTTGCAATTAATAATTCAATAGAATTGCTATTCAATTTAATTAACGATTTGTTTTCTTTGTCAGGGATAAATACTTGACTTTGATATTATTATAGGCAGTTTAAAAGAAATGAATGACTATGCATTAATTGTTTCACGATATGCCATGCCTGTAACTCAGAAAAGATCCCACAATGGAAATTTTGAATTTAGTAAATGGGTTATTTTGCTTCATATTTAACAGAGAAAGTATATGAAACGGTTTATATGAAAATCTTTATCTGTAAAACTTAAGTTCTTCCTATATGAAAATCCTAAAACTAAATTGATTTCATAGCAGAGATGAAGTGGAAGAATTATTTCAACAAACTAATACAGAGAATTTATGTCCCCCGCTTCAGAAAAAAGAGGGAATAAATGGAAAAATTTTGCAGATGGAGAAAGGAAAAAGGTGACCTTTGACCTTTCAGCTTTTGGCCTTAATGCCATAGAAATTTAAAGTTTAGATTGTCATCCTAATTTGCTTAAAAATCGGGGACAGATTTTATTTATTTTTATTTTCTATTACTGTAGACATCTACACAACGATCTTCTTGTACAAAACTTATTTTCACATTGTAAATGCCAATATGGATATAAAGAATTGATTGCTTATTCTTTAAAATGTGTACAGAAGATTCATTTTATATAAAATATTTGTCACACTGTAATAATGATTTTATGAGAACGTTTGTACACTCCTCACATAACTGCTTGTATGTAATTTGGCGCGGATCCAAATACGTTGTGCATATTGGTGCTTTATTCATAATTTGTCATTGGCCTTTTTCTAAATATATATTTTTCCTTTGACCACCCAATACCTGTGCTTTGTTTGAAAATATCACAATTTTCCACAGTCCTTATTATGGCATGTCAAACGTTGCAATATTCGATCTTTTCCATTTGTATTGTATAACTTTCCATTTGTATTGTATAATTTTTATTTGTATTGTATAATTTTTCATTTGTATTGTATAATTTTTCATTTGTATTGTATAATTTTCCATTTGTATTGTGTAATTTTTATTTGTATTCTATAATTTTCCATTTGGATTTTATAATTTTCCATTTGGATTGTATAATGTTTATTTGTATTCTATATTTTCCATTTGTGTTGTAAAAAAATCATTTGTATTGTATAATTTTTCATTTGTATTCTATATTTTCCATTTGCATTGTATAATTTCTTATTTGTATTGTACAATTTCTTATTTGTATGCGATAATTTTTCATTTGTATTGTATCCGAGGATTGTTTATTTATTTCGTTACGAAGGATGTCATTGGTCATAAAATTTAGTCTGTATAAAGGTCTCAGGTGCCCATCACAAACTTAGTCTGGTACCCTCCCCACAATTCCGATCGCGCACTCTCTACAAACACAAACTCGGCTCCTCTATTTGCGGTGCATTCTAAGGGACGACCATTTGATTCTCGGGGGGTGTCGAATCCGATTATTTATTTTCATTCTCTCGCAGGAGAGAATATTTATTTCCAATATGACCAGAGACAAGGAGAAAAACAAAAAGAAGAAAATCCGCCCAAACCCGAAAACTCAGTTTTTTGGGGGGTGGGGATAGTTACCACCGCTCAAGGTCAATTTATTTATTTTCTCAGTCAGCATTTCTAAGGACAGATTATTTATTTGCCATCTACCAGCGCTCCCTTTTTAGAATCCAATGACCGTCTAACATGCACGCAAATACATATGCCGCCGAGATATGGCTGAAATATTACCGACTCGGCGTTAAACAATAATCAATCAATTAATCAAGCAAATACATATGAGCTCAGTTTGCTTTGAGCATCCGGAACATCTTCAACCCGATACAGGCTGAAACTTGACCAATGAAATCCTTCGTAACGAAACAAATAAACAGTCCGCGGATACAATACAAATGAAAAATTATCGCATACAAATAAGAAATTTTACAATACAAATAAGAAATTATACAATGCAAATGGAAAATTATACAATACAAATAAAAATTATACAATACAAATGAAAATTATACAACACAAATAGAAAATTATAGAATACAAATAAAAATTATACAATACAAATGAAAAATTATACAATGCAAATAGAAAATTATACAATACAAATAAAAATTATACAATACAAATGGAAAATTATACAATGCAAATGGAAAAGATCGAATATTGCAACGTTTGACATGCCATACCTTATAACATCCAATTTTTTCGTTCTAGACTTGACACGTTCGACATTTTTAAAATCTAACACAACACATGGTGTCTATTTCAGCCTTTACTCTACAGTTCTCGTAGATTTACCATGTAAAGTCTGCCGACAACCTGTATTATATGTTATAACTCTCCACATGATCCAAAATAGTCCCACGTGACTTCTAATACAAACAGGGAGTAACTAAAACTTTGACCATGATCTATGCCAACAAAGAATGAACCGTTTAAACGTCCAAATCTGGCCCCCGATAATTTACAAAAAAATTAAATCAAAGATTTTTTTTTTTTAACATATTTTTACCTCAATCTTTCCATCAAACATTGTAGTTTATTAATTTCAATTTCGATTTTTACTTCCATGCGCTGTAATTAGGTATTTGTCTGATTAATATAGCAGGGGTACTTTGTTTACATCCATTTCTCATAGACTTTAGGCCACACCCCCATTTTGCAAGCCAATTTTTTTTTATATGAGCGCATGGATGTTTCAAGTTTTCGTAAATACGGTCAATGTAAAGAATTATACTAGTCATTTACATTCATGAAAGAAATTGAAACAGTCTTGCGCTCATTTATTCACGGGTACTTGTCTCTATAGTAAAGGCATCTTGTTTACAAATGTCAATCCGCCTTTGTCCACATGAATAACAAAGCACTAAACACGTGACTCAAATCTATTCACTTTCGCGCTTTGATCACACCTATGCGACATCATGTATAGGTGTCTGCGAGCTATCGATCGTCAAATCATTTTTCAAGTGGGTAATTAAAATTCTGAGAGAAAACTTATTTATGATTAAGATGTGCTAAGATTTTTTATTTACTTGTTATTAAACGCTATTTCAGTCGACTTTGTTTGATTTTTTTGGTATCTATATTGGAAACCTGTAGCATCGATATAGCTTGCACTTACTTCTTGTGTCTCACAGAATTTTGAAATTCAAATTACTGTGGGGATATATATTACATTTGCCTTTTTTCCTCAATATACATCAGCGCTGCGTTCATTGACTCTTTAAAGATAGAAAAGTTTTTTTCCCATTAAAACTGTCATTAATTTTATAGACTGTTATTTGATAAACACTAATTCATCATATCTTTAGAAAAATAAACTGTTTGTTATAAGTGCACAAATGCAAACTTCCAATTGAGAAACCCTAGGGAAAGAAATTGAAATACGGAGCGATAAAAAGACCTGTATACATATCGGATAAAAAGTCACTGGATGAACACATTTGCACAAATGCATCCCTAATTTGAATAAAGGGAAGCTTCAGGATTCGTCTAGCGACCCTGCAAATGCTAAAATGCTTATATTTTGTCTCTAGCACGAAATAAAAGGAGTTTTAAGTGTCAGTTATTCATAAAACGTAGTACACATCGAACACACAGTGAAATGGGAGTTTTCTAAGCGGAAGCTTTTTGATCGGGTCCCCGGGTAGTACAAAACATACGGACAAACAGCTAATGGCAATAGCAAAAGACGATGTCACTGTACATAGATCGTCGATATAAGATAGCCTATTTAGTTGAATGATAGTTAGAGTACTATCCATAACTTACTTATAAATCTTCAGAAGGTCCCATATGTGTGCAGGATTGGTTTATCGACTGTTTATGGAGGAATAAAGGGAAAATCAAGTTTGTGCATCAATGAAATCCCCGAATTTAAGTAGGGCTTATCTAACTTTTATTAAGCAAAGAAGAAACGTGACGCTGCTTTAGACACTTTGACTTTATCATCCGTGCGCCGTAAGGCGATACCACACATGACATAAAGTCTCATATTTTGTTTATTTGAGCAGATATCTATTTGAAATTTGCTATATATATTGATGAAAAATGTAATTAAAAGTACTGAAAGTTTTAGAATGCAGTGATGATTATTTTTCAATCTAGACAACTTGTCCACGATTTTACCGGACAACCCTCGTATATCTACGATACATCAACACAAGGGTATACTCTTCGCATTCGTTACACCTGACTGCTTTATTGTCACGGGTATCGGCGTGGAATGGCGACCCGTGTTCGTGCTGGTTTTCTTGCATTACCTTTGTTTACATTCTATTTTAGTTACGTGTATCTGTGTTTGTTTGTATACTGCACTGACCTGTACAACTATAATTGTAAGTTTCTTTTGTATCTTACTTCCCTGCATTTGACGAGGTATTACAGTTATTTTTGTCGCTACCGAGTGCTGTATAGCATACGTCCGTCTACACCGGTGTCGACTGATTATACTGAACAGTGTCCAAGTCTGGCCCTTTATATAGGGGTCCTCAGATATAGCGAGAATCCGAACAAAAATGGCGGACACATTGCTTTTACGAATCATGTTCAGCTTTAACGACATAGTATTTGGTATATCTCGACAAAACCAGTAAGTTGACTTAATTGACGAGATAGTTATCTTGATCTTATGCTGAATAAGTTGAACTGATAACAAAAATATGCCACCATACATCCCACTTATCATAGATGAAAAAATCATGGCCTATTCTGACGTACGTGATCTCGAGTGGCCAAATTATGAAGATTTGTACCTTCCAAAACTGGTACCATTCTTAAGAGATGCAAAACAAGCTCTTCAGTACATAAAAGACCTACAATTAGGAAAGGATGCAATAATTCTAGCAACATATCCTAGGTCAGGTAAGTACTTTTTACTCTGTCAGGTAAGTACTTTTTACTCAACAACGAACAACAAACAAGAAATACGTAAAAATCAGATTTGTCAATAATGTAGATTTGAGAAACTAAACTTGTTTTAGTTCATTTGATAAAAAAAGAAATGTAAATATAAATTACTAATGGACTTTTGCGAGAAGCGCTGACTTTTACAGTCGACGGCTTACCTTTACACTAAGACATATACGGAAGCTCTTTTGCGATATAAATATTTAGCTGAATAATTAATTAAAAGATAATAATGGGCAGTTTCAAAGCACATATTATGTCATCTAGGAAGGGATCTGCAACCATCCTATCTGCAACCCCCTCCCTTTCCAACTTGGCCAACCCCTGTCAAGTTTTCCTTTCAAAATGTTTTTTCTTCCTTATTTAATTCCTTTAGCAAATGAATTTGAAAGGAGATACTATTCTCACGAAAAACACATTTTAAGTTATGTTATTCTGCATCCCATCATCTCTTGTGTTGACTGTATTCAGGTAAATCATATAAGCGCCCCTAACACCATACCTATAACCACTATTAATGTTTTCTTATCCATTATCAATTCCTTACCTCCGTACATAACGCAGTTTAAATGTCAAAGTAAGCCGTCGACTGTAAAGTCAGCGCTTCTCGCAAAAGTCCAGTAAGGCGTGGTGTCTGTAAATTTGTTTATTGATAATGAAGTGTTTGAGTTTTCCTTTTTTTTACCTTGTTTTCTCCCCCACTTAAATTCCAAAAGTTTTGATGCCTTCGTAACCGAAGAATCGGGGTGTATAGTTTTTGCTCTGTTTGTCCGATAAAACTTTAACCTTTCAATAACTTTTAATCATTTTGACCTACTTTTGAAAAACTTTAATTTTAGCTATACGATTTAAAGGGTTTGAGCTACAACATTTATATTTCTTATGTGTATATCTTGTGTCCTGCTGGACACGTTATTACTGGTGACGTAAATGTTAATAATGAGGACCTTAGATCATTAATTATAAAATGTCCTAAATATAGGGAACCCCGATCCTTCAACTGGCGTCGGAATTTCATAAATATTATTGATTCTGTAGAGGATTACGCCAGGCGATGGGCCAGACATGAAAAAGAAGACCTTGGCACTTTGTCAGAATGGATGAAATGTATCAGATGTATGTTAAAATCGCGCATTAAAAGATCGAGGGGCAATATGAGAACCATCTTTCCTTCTGTATTAAATAATCCAGAAGTGAAAAAAGAATTAGATAGATTACATGATCAGTACGTACTGGTCCCTGCTGACAAAGCAGGTAACAACATTGTCTTTGTTTGTAAGGCTCATTATATTAAATGTATTTTAGAGGAACTTGGGTTTAATTCTACAAGTGGTAATCCAACTTATACTCATAGTTCCCTTTCTAAGGAAGAAATTCTTCGAAATCATATGTCAGTTTTGAATATGTTTAATATTCCAAACAACCAAAATGAATTTGAATTACCATATCTATACTGGATTCCGAAACTTCATAAAAATCCTTACAAACAAAGATACATAGCGGGTTCCAGTAAATGTTCAACCAAGCCTCATTCTTTACTCCTCCCTAAGATATTAACAGTAGTGAAGGAGAAACTTCAAGAGTACTGTGCAACAATATATTCGAGAAGTGGTGTAAATCAGATGTGGATACTTAAAAATTCCAAGGAACTTTCGGAAAATTTGAAATCACAAGATTTTACCAAAATCAACAGCTTAAAAACTTACGACTTTTCAACTTTATACACAACCATTCTCCACGATAAATTAAAGTCCAAGCTTTTTGATATCATTGACAGCTGCTTTATCAATAAAAATGGAACTCGTAAATTTACTTACCTTGTCATTGGTCATTTGCAAAATTATTTTTTAAAAAACATTCTGATTGTACAAACAGGTACTCTGAAGCTGACATTTAAAAGATGCTTGAGCTTCTGATTGACAATATCTATGTGGGTTTTGGAGACCAGGAATTCCCATGGGTATCAATTGCGCTCCGTTATTAGCAGACCTTTTTTGTATTCATATGAAGCAGAATTTGTCCAAAATCTTATACGCGAAAAGAAGAAAATACTTGTTGTGGCCTTCAACTGGACATTTAGATATATCGACGAGGTATTGTTAATTAACAGTGGTTATTTCCATTCTTATGTCGGTACGATATATCCCGGTGAGCTTGAGATAAAAGATACCACAGAGTCTGACACATCTGTTTCATATTTGGATATTTTACTTGAAAAAGACGTTAATGGTAATCTAACAACCAAGCTTTATGATAAACGTGATGACTTTAACTTTTCAATCGTCAGCTTCCCTTACTTATGCAGCAATATACCTTCATCACCTGCATACGGGGTTTATATCTCTTAGTTGATTCGATATGCAAGAGCATGCTCTACGTATGTACAATTTCTAAAACGAGGTAAATTACTGACAAACAAGTTGATGAAACAAGAATATCAGCAGTCTTGTTTAAAGTCATCATTTCGTAAGTTCTATGGTCGATACAATGACTTTGTCAGTAAATACAATTTATCATTGAGTCAAATGCTGACTGACGTTTTTCATACTAATGGTTAGGCCATTATTTACACACTGAATTGTCGACGGATTTTTCCGTTATTTCCCAATCATGACAAGGAGCACACGACGGGTGTGACCGATTGGCAGGGGATACTCACTCCTCCATGGCACCTGATCCCACCTCTGATGTTTTGGAGGTCCGTGTTTGCTCTGCTCCTATTTTGTATTGTATAATGGACTTTTGAGCTTGAATACTGTTCGTTATCTCCATATATTTCATTGTGGCAAGACCTTCCTTTTGGTACCAACAATTTTGACCAACCTTGAAATTTAACCTACTTGTAAAATTTTTTAACCTTGGTATCTATTTTTTTAAATAGATTATGCTAGGTCTTTCATATGTCACATGTGTTTTCCTTGTAAAAAAAATCTTTGGGTACTAGCAATAACAATTTTGACTTTCTGACCATGACTTTGGAGTTCCATCTACTTTTATAAAACTTTAACCTTGTCCATAGTTCCTGAATGGTTGCTACGAGGAGTCATAGAGATATAACGTTCTATCCTTAAAAGGATATTGTACTACGGACCCGGTTTAACGTAAAAATTCGTTCCCTGTATGAGAAATGTAGCAAAATAAACACGGGCGATAGCTCCAACTCAGTGCACTTACTACAAACAATTAAGAGTTCCGAAAGTCAACCTGGCGTGTAAATTTAAAGCGAGAAAAACGTTGAGAAAAGGAGTTGAATATTTGTCTTTATACGGGTTATTTTTTTAGGCTAAAAGAAATATATATAAGGTTTGTTATGATAAATTTGGTAGTTATTTTCAGTACAACTCTTTTTGTCTTCTGAAAACTCATTTCGGAGTGGATCTGCTCCGATTTGCTACATTGCAACTATATGGGACGTATTCTAACTGTGATGGGCTTGTCCTGAGACACAGTAAGATTAATCTAACTAGGGTTTTGATATCTCACAGGTGTATTCCTTGTGACAAGACGTATCTTTTTCATTTATTTAATATCTTGAATATGGAGTTTAAAACGTGAACCTTCACTATGAGAGTTTCACAAAAATCTTATTTCAGTCATTCCACAAAAACGTGACCAATTAAGAATTCTCCATGTCACTTACAAATTTACAGTTGTAATATCTAAACTATAAATTTAAAGATCGATTTCAACTCTAAGACTGAACAAACACACATGGTTTTGTAAATATTTACCGATATATTTGCAGTTACAGTTTTGATATGAACATAATGTAATGTTGAAAAACGTATTCCACAGTTTTGATATGAACATAATGTGATGTTGAAAAACGTATTCCACTGCAAATTTCAATGTCGCTTCATTTATTTACATATTTCAAGATGGAATTTTCAGCCGTGAAAGCGTTCCGAATAGGTAGTAGTGAATGTTAAAAAAGTTTTTTTTATCCTATATAAAAAAGAAATCAAACCACTTCTCGCAAAGAAATGCATGGATCTTCTTTCATGCGAAATTATAGCATGTCGCTAAAAATCTATTAACTTCCGAAACGATCCTGTTTTAAATTTAAAGCAGATTTCAAAAAGAACTGAAACTTAACTGAAAGTGACCACGGAACCTAATATCATCAATTCTAGTTGCGAGTGAGCTATTTTAGACGATTACATTTTCGACATAACAAAATGAATTAGACAAAAACAGTTGTCTCTCTTAATTTAATTTCCGTAACGGTAATCCAGGAAAGTTTATGCATTAAAGGTTGAAAGATTTTTATTATTTTGGGAGCGAATGCTTCATACTTTTGTTTAATATCCTAAAACAAACTTTAATTTTAACTATTGCCGGGAATTTTAACTTTTATTGCTGGGAATTAACCTCCGTAACGATTAACTTCCGTAACGATATTTGTCTCGAAATTTTAACGTAATATCGGATTCATGCGAGACTTCATGAATCATAATTTTGCGTTCTATACTGAACATCAGAAACGAAAAATTGGTTAACTTCAGCTTTATTTAAAAAATAATAAGACTTGTTCAAGCATTAACTTCCGACACATAACCTTAAATTCGATGGTATATTAAAATTGTTGTAAAAAGTTAACGATACTAGATTTGTGGACAATTCTTTTTTTTTTTTTTCAAGTTCACCGATATGTCCTTTAGAGAATTATGATGTTCATTTTGCTATTTGAAACAATTATTTTTTTCATGTTTTATACCTTGAATTGGTCCACTTATCGTTGAATGACTGATTTGTCATAGGTAATATATATTTATAGAAAGTGTACTGGAGAAAGAGAGACCAAGAAAGCTCTAAAAGGTCATTGTTATCAGGATTCAATATCTATATATCTTGCTGCAATGAGAATAAAATTTTGTACTCGGATTAACTCTCAGTTCTAATGAAACAATTATTAGTTTGAAAACAAAAAAATGCCATAGTTAACCTAACTGATT